CATTGTTTTATATTAGAATATTTTAATCATTATCTCCTAAAGCATTTGCATAATGGGGGAAGGATCTAGAAATACAAACAAAAATATTTTTGTAGAATTAAAAATTACAATAGTAATAAATACAGTAGCATCAATAGGAAGAAACCAATATCAATGAGAAGCAGTAAGAATGAAACACAAATGAAGAAAAAACTAAGTAGGCACAGAGACAAACCAATTATGTAAAGTTAAAAATTCAACTGAAAATAAAGGAATCATTCAAATAGTTTTTGTGATATAAATATAGGTGATCACAAATATTGGAAACTGAATTTTAAAAAGAATATAAAATATGGCCAAACACTGGCATATTCTACATTTCTTGTGCCAAACTTCTCTTTCAGTTCCACAGCCAAAAATCTACATATGCAATGGAATGCATTAAACTGTATATGCGTAACAGAGCATCTTCCTTCTCAAATGACATGGTAATTCACACTATTTTGAATATCACTTCTTTGTTTCTGCTTTAAAAAAAACCTTAACAACGAAGAAGATAATAATAATAGTATCTTGCAGTGGAAAGGAAATATTCTAGTTAGTACTAGATAAAGAATATAATGTGGAAAAAAAGAAATGTGGGCCATGACTCTAAACAACATTCCCTCTGACATCAACTATTGCTGTGTATGGAAATAAAAACTACTTTTAGTCTAATCCAGAATTTTAGCAAGTTTTTTCAGGGGATATATCTGTTGCAGTACATATTATGCAGCTTACTAAAGTAAAATGGCAATGGTTAGTTTGATGTTAATCTTATGAAATCTGTTTATCTTACTTCATAACACTGTCACACTTTTTGTGGGTCCTGAAGAATCTTATGTTCGGCTTTACAACTAAAGTTTGTTTCTAATTATTGCTTTCTTCTTTTCATTGCTGTTTTAGTAGTTTTGGTGTAGTTTTTCTTACAAATAACATCATGCCAAACGTTTCTTCTGCACTTTTCTGCAATTTTTTTGTCTTGCAATTGGAAGAAAATATTGTTAAACACTGAACCATGCTGTGGATTCGGTCAGCTCTTTTTCAAATTAAAGGAGCATTTTTAAAACCAGTAGAAAGAAGTATCTTTCTGGCAGCAAAATGACAATGTGAGATAATAAAAACAAGTGTTCTGATCCTGGAATAAGATTTATGAGTCAGATTCAAATGAAGAGAGTGCTATAAGTTAGGGCATGGAGGAATAACAACAAAAATCCTCTCATCAATTAACTATGCTATGTGAATGAGTGGTCTAAACATTTAAGGATAAGAAAACTAGAGTGATTAAGGTATTTTAAACATTCTCTGCTATGTTCAAAGAGGTGACAAAAATAGAACAATTGGGAAATCATGTTAAGAAAAAATAGATCAAAAATACATTATAGTTTACATATTTGTTTAACAGATGCCAGACTATTGAAAAAATAATATGTGCATGCTTGCAACTCTAAGAGTGCAAAAGATTTCCTCTCCATGGTTCCATCCTAAGTAAATCAGTCCTACCTCTGTGGCGTACAATCTGATGCCCAGGGCCACACACAAATCTTTGGGTGTAGCCCTCAAAAACTCCTCATATTGTTACCAAATTGAAATGTTTAGTGTGACAGCAGGTGGATGTTATTAAATATATTACCAAAAGTTAGCAGCAACTAAACTGATATGTAATCAAATGTAAAAATCAAATCAAATTTAGGTTTTGCTCTGCTTACTACTTTTGACAATATGATTTCATGAACACCATCTGAAGGACAACTGAAGTTCAGGGTTCATATAAGTTTCTGTCAATATGTTATGGCTGAAGCACAGTTGAGTGTTAAATTCAGATGTCAGAATTTGGAGCTTTTCCAGGCATATCTGTAAGGTGTGGTCAAAAGATAATGGCCATGATGGTAAGATTGAAACTCCATCATATTTTTTTTTGTCACATGTCAGAATCCCCCAAAGCAGGGATGAAGAGCAGAGATCATCCCTGCTAAACAACAGACAGACTGTAATAAAATTTATAGTCTCTGGCTTTTGAAATTGATTCTCAAATTGATATTACTCTTGGGCTCAGATGAAGCATGCTCTTTTTTCTTGCTTCTCTCTGGGATACTAATCTGGCCTGTCATTTTCCACATTTGCTTTTAAATGGCATTTGCCTGTTTTCATTTTCTGCATTCCTGCAACTAACAAAAACCTAGTATTAAGCATGTTGTATGAACATCCTGTTTTCCACTGTGAAATAATATTTTCATCTACCTGAAACTTCCTTAGTTTCTTACACTTCAACTGCAATGCAAGATAAGGCAATCTGGTAGGCTTCCATGATGCTTGGATCAAGAAAGCTATGAAAAAACGCTGTTTGTATGGGGTGTTGCATGGGTAACAGGAACACCTTCAGCAGCAATAAAATACTGTTGATAAATTAGGGACATTTAAATGAGACAGAGAAACAAAACTTATTTTATTTTTAACTTCTAGGGGAAGGAATCTTTGGAAAAAATAAAAGTTAATTGTTGACATATATTTAATGTATTGTGACAGTGGAACAAGTTTGCTCAAATTGGCTTAATTTGGCTTGTTGAATTCACATGTGTGACAGTAATCTGGTCAAAATAAGTGTTCTGACCAAGGCTACCAAGACCGTAATTACACACACACTTATTTTAAAAACAAGTCTTATTTTATTGCAACGCTGGGAATTATTGTCATTCCCAGCTGATAATGAATCTCAAACAGTCTCTCGAGATAAGCACCCACCTTCCTGTGAAGTGCTGCCAAGGACAGAAGTGTCAAATAAACTAGACCAAAAACTAATTGAAGTACAAAGAGCTTCCAGAATGACTCTGAACAGATCGAACTACTTTGCTTCTTGCAAAGATATCATCATCTTGGCTTGACCTTTATACCTTATGGGAAGGGCAATCACCTCCCAGCCTTAGTCCCAAGTCGCCCCTTTTGTTTCAGCTGCTCTCGCCTTCTAGTAGCTCTGCGCACGTGCACACTGGGAACAGGCTCCCCTGGGTCCTCTGCCTTGCTGCTGCTAGACTCCGAAGGCTCCGAAGGCAGCACCTTACTCCCAGATGGTCCTGGCCCCATCTCTGCATTGGATGCAGGACCCTCATCCAAGCCCTCTCCAGACTCCTTGACTGATCCCCTTTCTTCCCCACTGTCCGATTCCACTGCTGGATAGCCACAACAATAAGAAAGGACTGCTGAAAATAATGTCAGGGCACAGGGATTATTTTTTTTAAAGAAAAATGAATACATACATTGAGCTGTCACCTTGTACCCGCCTAGAGGAGGTTCATGTCCTTCCACAGCATCAAAGCCAGTTGATACTAATACAAAGTCAGGGTTGAACTCAGAAGTGATTGGCATAATCATTGTCCTGAAGATAAAACAAGCAAGCAGTAAGGTTATTTTATTGAACATACCAATTAGAACAAAACCACAATTATACATTAGCTACACATATAACCATTTCCACTATCAAGGTGTTTTTCTCCCTTCCTCCCCCTCTCTCTCCCTCCCTCCCTCTCTCCCACCCTCCCTCCCTCTCTCTCCTCCCCCCTCCTCCCCCCCCTCTCCCTCCCTCCCTCTGCACTTTCTAGGAATTTCTAAAAGAGAAAAGAATGATTTCCAGGTATATGTGAGAGCATCTAACATTACACACACATCTGGGCCTATTTTACTCCATTGGCTATAAAGATTGATTCTTAAGGGAAGTGACTAATGGATTACAAGGAGAACTCTGAAGTCTTAGTGGAAACCAAGATTGCTCCAGGTAGTGCGAACGTGGTGTAAATTGGAAGTATAAAATTCTTGGAGGGGGGGAAATATTTGCATTTCAAGCTTCTCCCCCTTTGTTCTTCATGTTTGAAAAAGAATCAAGCCAGGTGAATCTTTTAGTAAGGAAAGGAGGCGGGGAAGAGGGGGGGCCTAAAATCCTGTAATCAAAGCCAGGCTAGATTGTCAGAATTTTTCCAAGGTCATGCCTTGCAGGAATTTCAGAACCACAACCCAGTAACATCACCCCCTGCTGGTTTTAGGAAGACATTTCCATGCTTTCTACGTTTAGTGAATCTATTAACTCTTCCCTTTCCAGTGTTTTTTTATATTAAGAGTTGGATATGATACTGTATTTATCTGTGTACAGCTTCTACTCTCTACAAATGAAAAATCTAATATCCCAAAAAGTGTCTTTAGAACAACAGGGTTTTGTAGTGTTCATTGGATTTTCACTGGGGTTTAATTTCATGCTATTTCAACGAATGACTTTGATTTACTATAAATGTTGTAATAGTTCTTATTTGTAGAAGACATTGTGGAGAATGTCTCTTGGCTCTTAAAACTTGACAACAGCAACAAGAATATATAAGTTATTTATTATGGTTTGCTTCATATATGTGTGTGTGTGTTTATATAAAATTTGTGTGTGTCTGTGTGTGTGTAGGTGCAATTGCAATTAATCTATTTTAAACACTTTTTATCTGATCTATATTATGTTCCTCTACATTTTTATTCTTTTAAAATTATGAATAGGAACACCTTATCCCATCCATCCAATATTTTATTTCATGAAAGCTATTCTGGAACTGCTTCCTTCTTTCAAAGCAAATAAATTAATAATCCCAAACTTTTTCAGTCCACCGCCCCCTTGGTGCTACAAACTCATCCTCAGTGCCCCCATCCAGGGGCGGGATTCAAATTTCTGTGGGCGTGGCCTAATTTGAGGGCATGGCCTGCTGGTCACGTGACTGGGTGGCGTGGCCTGCTGGTCACGTGACTGTGGTGGCATGGCCTGCTGGTCACGTGACTGGGTGGGTGTGGCCTGCTGATCATGTGACTGGGGTAGGCATGGCCTGCTGGTCACGTGACTGGGTGGGCATGGCTTTCTGGTCATGTGACTGGGTGGACATGGCTTGCTGGTCACGTGACTGGGTGGGCATGGTTTGGTGACTGGCAAACCAAATACAAATGGTCCTCATTTAATGTCAGGTTGTTCAGCAAGTGTTCTAATTTATGACTGGCCTCCCCAGAGCTACTTGACCTGTTTTTGGGGTTTTGACAGCCATGCACACACATACACACACACACACACGCACACACTTCTAACCCAGCTGGTTGGACTAGATATCTCATTCATTTTCTCCTCCCTCCCTTTCTCCTTCTTTCTTTCTTTTCTTTTCAGTCCACCTCCGCCTTGGTGCTACAAACTCATCCTCAGTGTTCCCCACCCCCACCCCATATAAACAGCATTATTCGGAATAGCAGTTTGCACGACCCACCAAAGAAGATAGTAACAGTAAAATTCAAAATTGTAACAATTAATTGCACATTTATTCAAAATCCAATTTAAAAATCTTTTAAGTTAATGTTAATTCAACAAAATGGTTGAACATGATCCAGTGATACCAGGTTTTCAAAGTCTGATAGTCATTTATCAGTTTAAGAATTTACTGAACAGTGAAGCAGTTACTAATGCAATGGATGTGCTTGGTGAATTGATACCAGTTTCGTAATGTCTGGTTTTAACTCACTTAGCAGGAGTCTTAAATCACCGCGTTCAGTAATCTGGAGTCGATTTGTTTGCTTGGAGAGAAGTTGGATGACCACACTGAAACCACGTTCCACCAAATATGATGTTGGAAGTGCAACAAGGAGGTTCTTAACTATTGTCCATAGTGCAGGATAGTGATCAGAAATGTCCTTCTGTCTGGTATGATTTCTTAAACTTTGGTTTCAGCTCAATGTCATTTTTCAGTTCTATTAGTTGTTCTTCCACTACCCCATCTTCCTCAGTATCTAAAAATGGATTTATCACCCAATCTGGAATTTCCATCAAAAGAAGATCCTGATACCGCTCAGACACATCTTTATGCAGCATGTCCAAATGGTCACAAAAAACATGCAGATCATCATCTTGTATCCCACCTTTCTTTTCTAGCTCAGACAAGCTTGGAAATTGGTATAGCTCGCGTCAGCCTATATTGCGCTTGAATAGAGCTAACTTCGAAATAAATGTAGAGATGACAGATTTGGCCTTAATAAGGTTGACTTCATTTCCTTGCAACTGCAAATTCACTTCATTGAACTTTGTAAACAGTTCTGATAATCATGCGTGATCATGCATGATCTCTTTGAGTTCATCACTGAGCAAAGCATTCTTGCTTTCAAAAAACTCCACAACAGTGTCAAAAAGATTGTAAAAGCATCTCAAACAGGTCCCAACAAACTTCTGTATGAAGCAGCAAACGATCAAAATCTTCATCATTCTCAACACAGAGCTCTCGGAATAGTCGATCATTGAGAGCATGTACTCTAATTTTGTTCACTGCAGTAATTACAGTGTGTAATGACTTGTTCAAGTGATCACTGAGGTTTTTTGCAACCAGATGTTGGCGATGAATGACACAGTGAATGGTAAAGACATTTGGCACTGCTTTTTTCAAGTAAGCAACACACCCAGGGTAGCGACCAGTCATTGATGGTGCTCCATCAGTTGCACAAGCAAGTATGTTGGTTAGTGGAATTTCCTTTTCGTTGAAGAACTCCTCAACAACATGAAATATTGACTCCCCTTTAGTATCTGTATTTAGTTGCCTCGCAAAGAACAACTCTTGAGTCAAACTTTTGTCTTTAATAAAGCGCACATAAGCAAGAAGCAAAGATTCATTGCCTGGCAAAGTTGATTCATCCAGCTGTAATGCAAAGTCTGTTGTCTGTAGTATGCTGCACAATACATCTTCCACATTCTCAGCCATTTCATCTATGCCTCTCTGAACTGAATTGTTGCTGAGAGGAATTGTCTTAATTATATCATGTGGTGACTTATGCAAAACAGTACTCAGAACCTCACTAATGGCTGGTAGGATGAGTTATTCACCAATAGTATGTGGCTTTCCAGACTTAGCAATCAGCAATGAAATGTTGTATGATGCATGCAAACTGTCAGTGTTTTGTTGGGAAGCATTAGAAAACATGTGAAACAGTGCTGGGCGCTTTTGAAATTTGTCACATATTAGGCACTGTGGCAGCTGCTGTTTTGATGATGCTGGTATAAATCCATACTTCAGATACTCCACACTATATTGTCTACATTTTTTCTTTGATTTTTCTGCTTCTGCCATTTCTTCTCTGAAAATCAGAATATGTACAATATGTGTATGTTCACATCTGGTTTGAAAAGAGTGACAGTTGCACTGGGGAGGGGGTAGTAGAAACCTGCTTTTTAAAACCAAATACAAGTGGTCTTTGCTTAATGGCTGGTTGCTTGGCAAGTGTCCTAATATTTATGACTGACCTTCCCAGAGCTACTTGACCTGTTTTGGAGTTTTGACAGCCATGCACACACATACACACACACTCCCTTCTAACCCTGCTGGAGCAGGTCATTGGACTAGAATCGGCAAAGCATCTCTGATTAGATTCTAGTAGTGAATAGAATCTAATCAGAGATCCTTTGCTGATTCTTGTTCGTTTGTTTTATGTCCGAGTGGAGCAGTGCACCAAATCAATGGGGTGAGCCTGAGAGAAGGAAAGAGAGAGAGAGAAAAGAAAGAGAGGGGTAGAGAGAGAGAGAGAGAAAAGAAAGAAGGGAAAAGGGAAAGAAAAAAAAGGGACAAAGAGTGGGGGAGGGAGGGGGGAGAGAGAGAGAGAAAGAGACAGAGAGAGCTGATGTATCAGATTGAAATGAGGTCTAGTTTAGAGGCCCATTCCCATATTGAAACATCTTTGCCAGCATCTTTATCAGCACCTTGAAACATCTTTGGCTTCTATTACAGTAATTAAAGGTTTTGTGGACGAAACATGGCCAAGACTATCAGGAAGCTCTCACATTTTGTTGAGGCTTAAAGAGGATCCATTGGACCAGACCTCTACCCTAAAAAAATACTTTTCCCCAATGTATTACAGTGCCAATTCTGAAGAAGGCAAAACCAAAATGTACTGGTAAATTACAAGAACACACACACACACACACACACACACACACACGCACACTCCCTTCTAACCCTGCTGGAGCAAGTGATTGGACGAGAATAGATATCTCATTATCTTTCTCCTCCCTCCCTTTCTTTATTTCTTTTTCTTTCTGTCCCTTCCTTCCACCCCCACCCCTCCTTTTTTTGTCTGTCCCATTTTCTTTCTGTCCCTTTTCTCTTTATTTTCTTTCTCTCTCTTTCTCTCTCTCAGGTTCACCCAATTGACTGCTGCACACTCCAATGCAAGGGGCTCAATGGGGTGACCTGCGGGGCCTCGCCTTGAACGCAGCAGCACATTTGAAAAGGAGAGCAAACCTACTCTGGCTTTCCTCCACTCCCGCCACCACTGTGTTCATGTCGGGAAAGTGGAGGAAAGCTGGAGTGGGCTTGCACATTGTAACTCACCTAGATCAGATGGTGGTAGGAAGGCAGGGTGAGCGGGCGGGCGGG